GTGTTGTTGTGTGTGTGTGTGTGTGTGTGTGTGTATATATGTGTGTATGTGTATGTGTATGTGTGTGTGTGTGTGCGTGTGTGTGTGTGTATGTGTGTGTTTTGTGTTTGTGTGCCTGTGTTTACATCCTGCAGTGCACGTAAAAGATGAACGATGATAAGGATAGGATCGACAATGTGGCGCCGAACTGCTGATGATTCATCGATAGACAAAGATGACAGCATTAATTAGTATTATCCGAAAAGGATAACGGAATGGATAAGGTTTCAGTTCATCTAATGAGAGGGTCGGATACTCATTTTTGAATTTTTTGTGTGCCTCCCGAAACAGTGAATAGAGAATAACTAGGCTGACAGATTGATTGATAGATAGTAGAAGGAAGCTGCTGTTCCTCCTGATCTTTTATGATCTTTCTTCGCATTGGTGAAGTCCGCACTAATACTGCAAAGTCTTGGCTTACGAACTGACTTTGCACTTGAAAAAGCCACTCAAGAATAATAGGTGCTACTGGTTCTATATCCATGTTCACTGCGAAAACTTTGGAAAGCTTAAACTTTACGAAGATGCGATTTCTTCATACCTTTCTTGAAGGCGCTTAGATCGGTTATTTACGTTGATTGCATATTTGACTGTTCATCACTTATAGACCTTCATCATTTACGATTGATTGATCAACGGAGCTAATCTTATGAAATTTAATAGGCTCGTTTGATTAACTGATTACTGCAGTAATTCTAAACCATAGTGGTCTGCAGGTTATGTTCGTGCTAAAATATATTTCAGTGGAACAATAAAAACAGTGATATCATTGGTGGAAGCGCAACCTCCATCAGACATTTGCCATCGATAAGATTGTGTTGAATTGCCTCATGCTGCAATACCAAGCTTCTGGGCTGCTATCGTTATCTAAACTAAATTTTACTCATAATCTGCAGATCTTGTAAATTTTGGTATTTGCTATTAGGCTAAACTGGCTGAATCAAAATTAAACCAAATACGCCTAATTGCTTGAAAACATACTTCGCGAAATCGGAAGAGTATTAGAGGACAGTGTCCAGTCTATGATAGTGTCACGAAGATTGTTTCATGTAAAGCGAACGACTGAATCGATTTGTTTAACCTTTGCTATGTTTATGTAACATAGTTCTGGAATGCTTAATCATTACGATTTGTAAGGTCAGGTTATCGAGATGGATGCTGACTAAACAAGCTGGTTGAGAAAAAAAAAAAGGTAGCAGAAGTAGACGGTATAAGGGTTAAGGGGACAATCAAACTTGAATTGGATTTTGGCCATTGTCGTCCAATCTTTGATTTCATTACAAAATATTGGCTTGGGTGATTTGACTGTCATCTTGAAGAAGTAATTTGATTTTGCGAAGTCCTCAGAACATTATGCTCTCTTGTATGTAGTATTTAAGCGGAAATCGAAAGCATGATAAGAGAAATCAGTAATCCTTCCTGTCAAATTGATAAAATTGTACATATGGAAAAGTCAGCCTGAAGGTGAACATGACTGAAAAGTAATAAGGACTAGAATTTTACCGAAATTCTAGGATCAAATAACTATACAAATACACTGAGTCACATTAAGAAACCAGAATGTACAGCACACTGCGTGTACTGTCACGAAGTATCACAATGTTCTGTGACTGGCAAACTTGCGTGATTGCTTATCGTTTTATTCTTTTAAAAAGTTATCTTTCTTTGCTGTGGAATTTTTGAATATTCCTGAAGGTATTTTCATATATTTTCTATTTTTTTTTTTTTTTTTTTT